AATTAATGGAAAAATGATTGCTCTTTCAGGTTTTGAATCAAGTTTCATGTTAGACATACAGGGTAAAAAGTTATTAACTAAATTTTCGGTAAAATTGGTCGTAAGTGGCGCCCTCTACGAGCAATGCTGAAATTACAGCACGCATCTTATTCTCCGCCTAAAAAAATATAGTTTCACAAATTTCCAAATTCCTAACCTACATATTTTCAGAATAATCGCAAAAAACGATTTAAAATTTTAACTTTCAACACCCTGTATTTCCGAAACTATCAATTTTCGGATAAGGCATGTTTGCGCCAATGGTCACCATTTCACGTGTAGTATCTTCAGCTTTCGATTTTCCTATTGTTAATGAATCACCCTGTATATTAAACTACAGTTAAATACTATTAGACACTTAGTCGTAAATAGAGACATTCTATTTTTTCAAACTGTACCCAGATACATCTGAAAATGTCCAAGCAGTCTTCTGTTTCAATTTGCTAATGCTCTTATGTTTTTATTATTGGACGTGTAGAATTGTCCTAAATTTTTTGTACGAAAGGTACATGAAATTTTTGATGTGCATTAAGCTGATCAGCTAATGTATTTCAAAGCACGGACGACTTAATTTCCAGTAAAGTGTTTTCCATTAGGAGAATTACACCTTTCGATCATCAAGTTGGATGCATCAAAATGCACTTAACCTAATGGCAACACTGATGTATGTATAATGTGTTTTGATATTACAGACCACTTTCAGTAGACAAAATGACTTCTATGGTGGCACAAATGCCCACTCCATTCATCTTAAGATTGACCCATTTTATATCTGTGTTTGGCATAACGCCATGGTACAACTTCGAGCAACATAAACTGGTGCGTCCGATGATGTTCAAGTTTTACTCCAGCTTTTTGGTTCTTTTACTGGCATCCTCGACCATAGGATTGGTCTGGTTACGATATCGCCTGATTTTTAACTGTGAATTTTCATTGAATACAGCTATTGACATTTTCCTTGACTTAGAGTCGCTAGTCACGGTGTCCCTACCAATTGTAGTGACGTTCTGGGATCCGCACGCGTGGGTGAAGCTGTACAAGGCTTACAGTCGAGTAGATGCTTCTACAGAGACTGTATCATACGCAGGAAATAGCGCGTTTATGCTGAGATACGCTGCGCCTGTATTTGTTCTAGGAAATGTTTATTTGTTTTCTATGCACCACATCAATGATCTTATCTTGAAGTATATAAGTGACTTTAGCGTCTACTACTTTTCAACTTTCGTGCTGAATTATTACGAGTTTCTAATAGCGTTTACCATCATCGGCGTGTCGGCACTTATTAAATCGAAATACCAGTGTATAAACGAACTACTTGTTGCCCGTAATTCCAACGGTGACTTTATAAAAACCGCGAAGGAAGTCAGAATATTATGGTTGAGAATGGAAGACATCGTTCAAGATTTCAATAGACTGTTCGGCTGGCCGTTGTTGCTACTGTTCTTTGATTTTTTTCTGGATATATTAACCGCTTTGATTTGCGCTACCTTTGCGACGGACAACAGCGTTTATCGAATGGAAGGCGGTGCCGCTGTTGCCAATGCCTTCTATCTGTTCCAATCTGCGGTAAGTCTAACGGTTCTTCTTCTAACAATAAATCCATACTTCATTGCCTCTGCTGCTAATATTGTACTTAAATTTGATTTGATTGTAATTTGATACAGGGTGTTTGTACTTGTACAAACTTTAGGGTGTCCNCTTAAATGTTTTACACTTATTTAGTTACACCCTGTATATACCAGAGATACAGATCCGTAAATCGCTAATTTCGACGTATATCTAGTCTAAATGGTGGTATCATTAGCAGTATCAAAAATGTAAAAAAAGAATGTCTCGAGATACACGATGTTATACAGTGTTTCAATACTTACATTGTGTGGTTGGGTTCTGCTACCGCTTTTGTCTTATCCTATGGTACAAGGGCTATCATTCTTTTCTCTTGCAGTAAATAAAAATTTGTTCAATACAACCACGAAGAGAATTTTTGTGAACGTTGGATACTTGCTGATATGGTATATATGGAATATAATGGAAAGCAGAATAATTATTATTAAGGAAATATCTAATTTCAAACGAGCATAATACAAAACATTAGTTGTGCTATAGTGCGACTTACCTTTGGCTTTCAATCAGTGTTTGGTTCGTCTCAATCGGTCTTCATCCGTTTGAAAGTTATGATCAGAAATATTGAGATTTATTTTCAAGTTTCAATTAGTCGAAATTAACTTTTCTCATAATGCTCAAGTGGGATTGTGTAACTTTTGAGAAGTATAATAGAAAAAATGGATGCTGTCACTTATAAAATAATATTAATTGTGTATGTACATATACAGGGTGACACCTAACAAATGTTACATACTTCAAGGGTATAATCTAGAACCAAAATGATGTCGATTTAACCAAACTTGCTTAAACGAAAAATGTCGCAAAAAATGTTCCTGACATATACCACTATCATGTCTTTCATTTCATAATTCGTAATTTCATTTTGACGAGGCATTTTCAGAAACAAACTCTTGCAAAATACAAACCTGACAGTGACTTACCGAAATTATCATGTTACGGATACACATTCATTTCCAAAATATAGGTATGGGGTAGATGTTAATAAATATTTTTTGTAATATCTTCATAATCGAGCATAATTTCTACTTTTGATAGGTATACATTTTTTGTATTGAATAAAATTCTCTACCTATTTCTGGTAGTTGAGTTGAAAATTTAAACATACAAAAAATTACAGAAGAATATTTACAAAGGGTAGTAGTAACGTTCTGTATGGTTAAACCTAATAGGAACATAATCACTGCCTACTTCATGAAGACAAACTAAGCGACAGCAAATTTTGCTCAAATCGGTTAACTGATTCTAAGTCGAAATTGCCATTAAACATTAACAGAATTATTCAGATGGAATATTGCCCAGTGGGTTAGATTAGTAATGAATTAAAAATAGAAATAATTATTGGTAAAATATTATTGATGACTGTATATATTTTACGAAACATAAATAGGCCACTGGTCATTACCAATAGTGGAGAATTACCTAATTGTCAGTACAGCGCGTTTTTGATTAATAGAACAAATTCATTTAAAATTCAGGGAATTCCTCGGAAAATGCTCGGACACATCGATTAGGATTTTTTTGTTGCGGATTTTTTGACATAAGAAAATTATATACAGGATGTCTCAAGAAGAACATATGCAGTCGTCACTGATTTTTTTAAATGGAACACCCTGTATATTATGCCACTTTTGAATTGTACGGTAAATTCTAAACACTTTTTGTTTGTATAAAATAACATATCTATAAAATCAGCGGTTTTCGTAATAATGACGTTTGAAATGTGATAAATGGAAAAAAATTTATATTGAAACATAAATTAAACATTATTTTAAATAACAATACATATTTGTAGTCGAAGGATCGTTTCCCGTTGAACGTTTTCAATTACCTCTGCTGGAATAAGTCTTATTTCCTGGCGTATTCTCTGGTCTATTCATAAAAAGAAATCTAAAGGGGTCAAATTAGATAACTATTGGTGGCCACTCAATAGGACCTCTGCGTCCAATCCATTTATTAAGTCAAGAAATGATCGAACAGAAATTGCAAAATTAGGAGGTGCCCCATCGTGTTGGAACCATATGTCATTATGAGGAATATTTGGATCTTGTGGATTAGGAAACACAACAGCTAAAGCGGGGATGTGTCCAAACTGAAGAAAGTCTAAGTAGCGTTCTCCATTTAAATTTTCTTCAAAAAAATAAGGTCCATAAATTCGGTTTTCGACAATACTTGCCCAAACCTTTATTTTTTGACGATGCCGTGTGTTACAGACTTATGTCCAATGAGGATTTTCAGTTGCCCAGTACCTGCAGTTTTGTCTGTTAATGCGACCATTAAAAACCAAAGTAACCTCATCAAAAAAAATAATCTTTCGGGTGAAAATTAAGTTTTGATTATTTGCTCACAAAACTGCGTTCAAAATCGTCTTTTAATAGTTCATGTAGGTATCATAATTATATTTGTTACATATTAAAGATTATGGTATGTTACACAAAAAGTGACATCCTGCATACAATTCAATGTCAAAAAATCCACAATTAAAAATACTAATCAACGTGTCCACAAAATAATTACCTGAATTTTAAACGAATTTGTTCCTTTCATCATGAACGCAGTGTACAGGGTGATTCATTAACAATGGGAAAGTCGAAAGCTGAAGATACTACACATGAAATGGTGACAATTGGCGCAAACATGCCTTATCCGAAAGTTAATAGTTTTGGAAATACAGGGTGTTGAAAGTTAAAATTTTAAATCGTTTTTTTGCGATTATTCTGAAAATATGTAGGTTAGGAACTTGAAAATTTGTGAAACTATATTTTTTTAGGCGGCGAATAAGATGCGTGTTGTAATTTCAGCATTGCTCGTAGAGGGCGCCACTTACGACCAATTTTACCGAAAATTTAGTTAATAACTTTTTACCCTGTATGTCTAACATGAAACTTGATTCAAAACCTGAAAGAGCAATAATTTTTCCATTAATTATGTACTCTTGTTTCATTTCGGTATCTCGATCCGTTTTCGAGAAAAATCGATTTAACGAACACTATGTTTTGATAATACGAGAAATTAAAAGCGAAACAAACCAAGTGTTTCTTCGTGTTATTACAACAATTAACAATAAAACAAAT